AAATATTTTAACCCATCCAACAGATACCGAGAATTCAACACCCGAAAGCATTCAAGACAAGCTACGAATCGTGACCTTCTGAACATGCTACTAGTGTCTTCAGATCCATTGATCACAAGTATTCGAGGATGGCCGAAGAAAATCGAAAAATCACTATCGGATGACGCGAAAAGCCTTTTGAAAAGTTTTTCTTACTATAGTGAGAATGACAACGAGAACAACAACGAAACCAAAAGCGAGGACGACAGCGATTCATGAAATAGACATGTTGAAAAACTTTTATTATCAGTTTACTTTAATTAAATTAAATTGAACCCAATTAGCGTGCCGTATTTTTTACTATAACGAAGAAAAAGTTTTAACACGAAACATACCTTCCAAAAGCTTACATTCACAGATGTTTGCTATCATTTTGAAGTGAATTTATTAAAGTTTCAGATGCACCATGGGTATATTGCCCCATTTTGCCCCCTGCTAAGTTACAAGTTCATAAATTATGGTCTAAAAATCAACAAAAACTTCAATAACTTTTTTTCTACAGAAGATACTGCAATGCGGTGTTCTACAATATTGTGTATTTTATTATTATCTACAACTTACTAGAACATGACAAAGCCGTAAAAATGTAGATCAAAAAGTTATGATGAGAAAACCATTTTTGAGGGACCGTCGTCAATAAACTTCACATATCTTGAAAAGTAAAAAAGATATTAATTAAGCGTCTTCAGCATAGTTCTTTAAAAATAAATTTTCTACAACTTTGTCCAAGACTCCAACACTGTATCTTGAATAGTTGAAAAAATAAATTTTCGATCACACTTTTAGGGGGATTAATCTTTTAACTAAAAACATCAAAAGAAGCGCAGTAACATATTGAAACACTTTTCTGAAGACACCATACATCTTAATTTCATGATAAAGGAGCTATTAATTAAGCGCACGAAAATGCCGATTTCAACCACTGTGCAACCGACGGTCGTCCACGCAAACCAACAACATCATCGCGAAGGGGAAAGTTTCTCCTACCCGGTGATGTTGATTGTTTGAGTTGGTCTCATATGTGGGCTAGAAAAGGCCATAAAACAGTTTGTTTACAAAAAGCTTGTATGCCATTTTCACATGTTGTTCTTGATAAATTTTTTTAAATTGTACCGCGGAAGCTGCATGTAAGCTAAATGAAAGAAATGTTTTTATCCAAAAGATCTAGGAAAAATCATAGGTTTTCGCGAGATCTTTCGATTCTGATTTCGATTAGATCTAGATAGAGCTGGAATTAGGGCCTTACAGCTTTTGTAAACAATGACTTCTCTTGATAATTTCTAGAAATTCAAGGCTCGCCCACGCAAACCAACATCCCCTATCCGATGGTTAGGTTGGTCTGCGTGGACGGGCCTTGAATTCTCAGAAATCATAATTCCAGCTAAGACTGGTACTGGAAAAAAATGCACCATTTTTATCCGTGTGTAACTTTTTTATCCGTAGGTAAAAATTGATGAAAATCTGAGTATAACTAGTTTGGAGTGAATTGTTTACATGTGCAAAATTTCATAACAATCGGTTCAGTGGTTATTGAGATGTCATCGAAACAAGAAGAAAATCGCCGGAGAATTTTGCGCGCCGTCATGAAAAATCCGACTGCGACCATGAGATGGATCGAAAGACAACTGGGAATCACCCATACAACTGTGTCTCGGGTGGTAAAATCGTTTAAGGAGTCCCAGACGACCGAGCGGCGGGCTGGAAGTGGAAGGAAATCGAAGACAGCTGACTTTGTGAAGGCTCGGAAGGTGTTGGATTATTTCAAGCGTAATACGAACCTTTCGATTCGCGACGCAGCTCTGAAGGCAAAGTGTTCGGCCTGGTTCGTTCAGCAAACCATGAAACGAGCTGGGCTTCGTGTATTCAAGGTCCGGAAGGCACCGAACCGGCGTGATCAACAAAACACGGCGGCCAAATTCCGAGCAAGGAAGCTGTATCGAGAGTGGTTAACGAAACCGATGTGTGTGGTTATGGATGACGAAACCTATATCAAGGCAGACGCAAAGCAGATACCGGGGCTGAAGTTCTACGTTGCCAAATCACGGTTTGATGTTCCGGATACATAAGGAAGACGAAAGTGGACAAATTCGCCAAAAAATACTTGCTCTGGCAGGCCATATGCCAATGCGGTAACCGTACTTAAAATAATTTTTTGGCGAACACTTTTGTCTGGTGCATTTTTTTTTTCGAGTACAGGCCTTAATTCCAGCTCTATCTTGAGATAATCCAAATGTTGAAAACGGTCCCCATTTACGACACACGTGTTTTATTTTACACTACCTAGCGATTCTGAATTGTTCATATCTAGGAAATAACTATTTCTATGTTGATGATTTTATGTTTTGTTTCGTTTGACTGGCTTATTTTTTATGGATTTCATATGAATGAAACTTTCAATCATTTAACTTTTTCTCAGCGTGATGCTGATAACACATGCAGCTTATAGTTTTTTTCTGGCCGTAGATGGCATGTTATAGATACAGTTGATACTGAAGTTTTGATATTTTTAGCTAATTATTTCTTATTACCCCATCTGGGCGATAAGAAACAGGTGGTCATGATAAGAAACAGCATTACGAGCTTAGGTATTTCTTATTTAACCATATTCCTCTAATGCCAATTTGTTGTTCATATTCTACTAATGTATTTGATATTAACTCCGTTAGCTGCTACGACTTGCTTTTGATAAAATGTTCAATGCCTATCTTGAATCCTGATTCGATCAAACGAGATCCATCACTTTGTCGTCAGAAGCAATTAATGTAAACACAATTTCACCTGCCACATGGCGTTCCCATTGAAGTTAACACACTGTAAGGATCATCTAGGCCAACATTTACGAAACTGAAACTTGGTCGCAAATAAGCTCAAACACTAGATATATATCGATATGTTTAACACGAAGCTTACCACCACTATAAACAAGTTAAGGCGCCTGTCGGATATTTCTAAAAATATTTGAAAAGGATATCAAAAATCCAAGGAAATTAGTTATTTCATGTGATTCTTACGAGTAAAAACATTTTTGCTATTCCATCATTTGGGTAAAAAAACAAAATCGAAAGGTTTGACTTTGCGGTATTTTATACACAACTTTTCACCATCATGATGTAGGAAAAAAATATGTACGGATATTTTTGAAGGTCACAAGAAAAAACGTTTTTATTTTTATATTTTGTTTATTTTAGAAAAATCAAAATGGAATTTTTTAGCCGGCAATTAAAAGAAATATGACAACTGTAATAAATAAATTAATGAACAACAATAATATAATACTAAACAACCCAAGTAACCACCAAGCCCTTTTTGCGATATAAGGTAAATATAGGGTTTCCGAACTTTATATTAGTCGTATAGCAGCCTTATATACCAAAAAGAGCGATTAACGGGCTTGTTGGCTACTTGGGAGTGCTGCTAAACGTCACGTTTTGTGAAGTGTTGCAGCTTTCAAGCATATATAAGCATATATGAGCATATTTTTAACTTATAATATACCATGCTTGCCAAGCTCTAAGGCCCTAGCTATCACTACACCACTTCGCTTTACAGAATTGGAAAAGTGTTGTCTCTAAAAATCAAACCATATTGTTGCAAAGATTAGTACTGAGCGCACACGCCATATTTTGGGCGAGATTCTGCATATTAAAAAGTTATCCTGCCGCTGGGTGCCACGCAAGGTCACTCCTGACCAAAAACACGAACGCGAGAGCACTTCGAAAGAGTGTTTGGACTTGCTGATGCGGAATCGGGCGGACTTTTGGCGTCGATTGGTAACTGTTGATGAAACCTGGATCCACTATTACACCACAGAGAACAGAATGAGTGCCCGGAAATGGACTGAAGCCGGCACGAGTGCTCCGAACGAGTGCAAAACGGCCTCACATGAAGAGAAAAAAAAAATTGTTTTTGCAAGAAAATGCGCGGCGCACAAGAGCATCGCAACCACGGCTAAAATCATTGACTTACGGCTCCAATTGTTTCCGCATCCACCGTATTCGCCCGATTTGGCTCCCTCAGACTATTATCTCTTCCCAAACATCAAAAAATCAATAAAAAAAATTCAGCTCACGTGAGGAAACCATCGACGCCGCGGAGGAGTATTTTGCAGACCTTCCGGAAAATTACTTGTCGGACCGGATCATGAATTTGGAAAATCGTTGTAATAAGTGTACCGAGCTAAAAGGGGACTATATTGAATAAAATTAAAAAAAAAAATTAATTCCCAAGGAGGTTACTTCTCATACCACCTAGTAGAATTGACACTTATGACGTATTTATAATTCACGTATCTGTCATGAATGCACATTTCACTAAGTGGAATTTAGTAATAAAGAATCGCTATTTAAGCGCTATATGAGCATTCCACTAACACTCTAATCCATAACTTCCATTATGATGGCTACTAAATATGGGGATTTTTATTCTGTTTATTACCTTGTTCATACAACAATGTTCTCAAAGTTTATAATAATAATCGAGTATTATCGACTTGAAAAATTTCATCAAGATAGCCTAACATATTATAACAGTTAGATCCAGCAACAAATGAGTGAATACAATTGTTCGCTTCACCTGACCATTCGGCTATCGCCAGAGAAATCTGACAAGTGAGCAGAAATAAGGCTGAGGTGAAATTGGCTGTTCACATGGTTGGAAATGTTGACCGCGTACCTAAAAAATAAAAGAAACATGCTTCATGAGAAGGATTAATTTGGACATAGTGAGGCTGCCTCCACATTCAGAAGTCAGTAATGAGCCATTGCTGAAATAAAACGAAAATGAAATGAAAGCAAATGGATTAGATTAACTTACCGACAGAGTGGACTTGATCTAGATAGCATTTATTAAGACGATCGTATCAGATTTAATTCAGAGCGTGATTTTATCTTCTGTAGCTTTGACTGATGAGCACTACGTCATTTGCGAATTTTAAAAGTAATATATACTCTTCTATTTTTCAGAATGCACCCTCGCACCGTTTGTCAGTGGATCAACATCGGAGAAAATTCCATTCGTATTCCTACCGCACCGTGGTCAAATTGTCTACCCAAGCAAGGAGATCGGCTTTCCGGGTAAGTGTGTTATTCAAACAACTTCACATCTTGGTCATTTCAGACAGCAATCTGTTTTCCTGCCAAGGAACACTTAAGTCATCTCGACAAACAATTATCCCCTATGCATACTGGTGGTCTCTTCTGGGAGTTTGGTTTGAGACCAAATACCGTGGTAAATCGTGCCGTACCACCCAGTAGGAAGGCATAGCTACATAATTCTGATTTTTTGCTCTCTTACTGTTTGGCAAAGAGGAAGGTTAGTTTTGAATATTTGCAAGCTGTCACTTTCAAGTGCCGGAAAAGCAATTGGCTGGACTTGGGAGAAATAAATGTGCGTTATTAGCAGCATCAAGGAATTTGTAAAAGTTGCCGTTTTGTCAAATTATTTAAAACATACTATAAATGATGTAACAAAATATCAGATGCTCACAAAAATTATGAAATTCAAATGCTCGTTTACTGGAAAATGGCAAAGGAAACAAAACCCCAAAATGACATAGCGAAAATATAAACAACAATCGCTGTAGTTATTCTTGTTTTACATGCTTCCTTCCGCGGTTTACCATAACATGAAAAAGAGTTGATGCAGAGTACCATACAACTCATGACGATCTGTTTACCTAGTTTACCTCGGTGTAAGTTTGCTCATAACACCTGCATTAATTTTGCTTGGATTTTCCTTTTGACAATAACAAATACGTTAAGTGAAGTAGATGCACTATTCATAATGCAAACACTCAAGTTTGTGTTCTCGCGGGTACATCAACTACCGCTGCAGCGCAAGTACAATTCAGCTAAACTGTAGTGTCATAAATAACTCAATGACCTCATTTAAATTTCTCCAGCCCAGCAACAGAACGGTGAATCGTGTTTTATTTCACTTTCAAACCTTTGAACTGAAAACTCCACAGCCGACGAACATAATTGAATTATTCTTTTTGAAGCATCATTGTAAAATGCATCAATCATCAGCAAAACCAGTGAAGCGTGTCAGCACCACCCAGTAATTTTATCGTAGATCGTTGTACCACACATGTGCTGAAGAGTTTATTTCTCTACTCCAACGCCTACTATAGGTAATAAAATCTCTGCATTATGGCTACACCCACAAGGTGAAAGATAAAACGATCAATGCATACTTGAAGTTGCTGAATGGATGTGTGAAATAAACTGTGGCATCATCGTCGCAATAATCTAAAACATGTATTCCATTTGTAACAATATTTTGACCAACTGCAAGTAAATCACATAGCTCGTATACAAATGAAGACGACATTCCTTTCACAGGAACTGATCTCAATTATTCGACACGCCAAAAGCATCACCTGGCAAAGCTAGCCATGATTAGAAGGCAAACGTCAATGCTCAAAAAACCATAAAATTACACATGACAAAGCAACCCATCATCAAGGATCTATTCGTTCGTGCGCCGTATCTTTTAACTTCCAACCACTCGTCGTCGTCGTCGTCGTCGTTGTCGGCATCATCGTCATCGTATGCCGGTGCATAAATTCTTCCGATACGAAGCGCGCGCGACCGTTGCATGATCATCATTATTAACATTATTATTATTCTCCATTATGGAATTACGGCTTCACCTGCAGCTGTGTTATTATTTTATTAGTCGCCCCCGTCGTAAATTTCCACTTTGGCGCTATCTTCTTTGGTTTGATTTACTTGTCGAACACGTTGTGTATTATCTTAGACGCAAACATCTAGTTTTCCCAGTGGCCACAGATTGGTTTTTGGGGCAGTTCATTTATAAAAATTGAGCAAGCATTTTTGAAGATGTTTTAACTCTTCAAATTGAAAATAAAGTGGACTTATTTTTTTAATAATGATGTATCTCGGTTTATTTTAATCCGTTTTCAAATGTTTTAAGCCGTTGGAAAGGTAACTTTCTCATCTTTTTATTCATCTGTTGGTTTTTTTTTAAATCGCAGCGTAAAATCTGGTTTATTATTTTTTAACAAAATTTTTCAAAGGTCAGTAATGCAATATTAAATTCGACTATGGAGAATTCTATTAGATATTTGCATAGGCTTTAGGGGATAAATAATAAAGGAGAAACCAATCAGTATTGACTTGCTGAAACGACTTGTCTACCAACTCGTCTAAAATGGGAAAACCAGCATTTGAATTAACATTTGTAAACGCCACCATGTGAAATGACCTCCTAAACCATAATGAAAGAGAACTCATATCCTTTCCAACCAGATGAAAACATTAGAAATCCGTTTAAAGTTACCGGAGATATTACAAAAATATTCATACATGTGATTACCGTTTGGTGCTCTGAAGAGTTAAGAAGTGGTATACAAAATCTACTAGTACGGCGTAGATGTAAATCAGATCAAAAAGACATAGTAACAAATCATATTTAACCCCAATATATCGCAATCAGTCTACTACGCAAACAAAATGCAACCGACCAGTAAAGATATTCCTTAAACCAGCACATGCAAAAGTGTGAAAAACGTAGAAATTTAGAAAAGCTACCAGGGGTGTACAATTAAATACTCGTTCTACAATTTCTTCAATGCTAAAGCAATCTGAAATCGCTCCAGGGTCATTTGGAAGTGAGTAAATCTGCTCTGCTCCCTAACTGGACCCAAGTCGAGTGCCCCTACATGATGCGCCACATCGACGACGGTGGGCTCTAATGATAATGAGCCGTAATCTATGGTTTGTAGCCGAAAGGTTCACATTCGAGTAGCACCTTGGTTTGAATAAATATGTGCGATTTTTTTTTGCTCTGTACCTTCCCCACAGTGTCTTCGGGTTCAGATGACCATCCATGAATTGGATTGCGCCTATTTCAAAAGCGTAGACATTAGCCATGAAGGAAACAACCGAAGCAGCTGTACAAATGATCTTATGAAATGTAAACCACTTGCCGAAGGCTCTCAACTTCATGTTCACTAAGATAAATTAGACTAGGAAACAAGTTATTGCACAAAGATCTTGTAAAAGTATTGCATAAATAATGTACACAACAAAAGTAGTCGAAAATTTCGAGCTCACATTGTACAACTTTCATGTTAACCATGAAATAAAGTGTGATCAATGAAAAAACTTTCTGAATATCATACAGTTTTTTGAGAAATTGCGTTGAAAACACAGTGTAGTTACAAAATGACAATGTTCATCACACAAATTACATGAAGAGTGAGTAACAAATATTCTTGTTATCATAATTAAATCATCGAAAATGATGGTCATCGTTTCCGATATCAGGGGCCTCATTAGGGAAGTCAAAACGAAGCGTCTTTCGTACGAACGCTTATATGAAAACAGTAGTTTCGACTTGGTTCCATAATGTGGCCTCAGATTTTCATCCACCTGTTTTTCGTGGTGATGGTTTTGAGATAGCATTAATATGCAAACCATCTGTATGAAATTATAAATTAATTTTTATTTTCATTGAACTATACCGTAGAACGGGTCAAGTTGATCATCGGGGTGTGTTTGATCACTAATATTTCGCATTATTTTTTTAAAGTACAATATTTTGATGTTCCAGGGCGAAGAAATGTACCCTATTTCAACATGATTCGACATAAGAAGAAATATATCTGAACAATTTGATCCCAATGTACGGTACAAATTCAATAAAGTTCAAACAATCAACTTGGTCAGTATAAGTAAATTTCAAACAGACAGCTTTTTTCATGGAAATTAAACTCTAAAATTGGTCACATCTTTCTAACCAAATACCGTGTACCCCCGTTAATCTGAACGACACATCGTGCAAATTAATGGAATTCATTTTTAATTTGAACTTCTAGTAACCCTGTGACTAGCAGAAAAGTGAGTTTCTTGTAGCCTTATTTGCTGTTTTGTTTTGAATCTGCGTTCCGTTTCGCATCGTTCCATGTAGCTTTACTCCATTTCATGTGCTAAATGACGTTTGAGCAATTTTTAGTTTGCACGGCATGCAGATTAACGTGGTTCAAACTAAAAAGTGTTCAGATTAAAAACGGTCAGATTACCGGTGGTCCATGGTACTACTTTTCACCATAGAACCCAACAAATGCCACACCGCCGGCGCACAGTGAATTCAGGATAAGAATTTAGCAGGACAGTAGTTCAATAACTTTTGTTTTAGCCGTTTAGTGTTTTGGGTGAAGTTTTTATACTTAAAAAGATCCTTTTTTTGGTGGAGGTAAACATTAGGGTGATCCACAATTAAATTGATATAGAGCATTTCCAGCCCAAAACGCAAACCGGTTGGTCATGAGTGTTTCCGATTTGAATGAAACATTTCTCACGTGTTCGCTGCTACTAATGGTTGCATTTTTCATTTAAATATGATTTTTTCCTCCAGAGTAACTTTTGAAAAGGGCGTATAAAAAAATTGATTATTTTTTTTTCAAAAAATCATAACTTGAAAACTATTGATCTGATCAAAATGGCATATGGGAAGAAGTTTTAGGTAGTTAAATTATCTTTGCGGAAAAAAATACACTGAAAGAAAAACTTAGTAAATTAGTATTTAAAAAACGTAAAACGATGATTATCTCAAAACACCCCCCCTTCGATCTTTATAATTTTTTTTTTCAAGAAAACTGAAAAAATGCCCTAATATTTGGTGAAGAGTGTATACTGGTAACTTTCTTAAAAAAAAATTTATAATTTTTGAAATTTTTGTTGGTTTTTACAAGTTGGTGAAATTGCATATTTTTTAGTAAAATAGTAATTTATTTGGATTCTACGCATAATTTTCAAAAACATTGCATATAAAAACTTTTTTCTTAAGTCCAGCCGTTCTCAAGTTCATGCAATTTAAAAAAAATAATTATAATAATTTTCTACATTTTGGGCCATTTTCAAATGTTAGTCGTGATGTCCAGCAACGGATGTTTTTCCATGAATATATATTTAAAAAACTGACAATTCATTCTCAAATATGGTAGCTGTCAGACTTACCCGTTTCTATTTAGACGCAGCGGAAAAGAAACAAGTTTATAAGTAAATACTCTCAAATATACCCAAATAATCAACAAACCCACTCATGT